GCTTTTCAAAAATGTCGTCAGAGAATGATGAAAAATCAGCTAAAACTCGACTAAGGGGAATTATCATTGATAAATATCTATTCAACAGGCTACATTTCAAATCAAAGTCAAAGTTTGTTACTATTTTCGATCCCTTTCCAGCATAGTTTTAATCGCCATTTATCTGCGGCCGCCTCTCGCACGTGCCTTCACACAAAGCCAAGAAATTGCGTAGGCTCTTCATACATACAATGTGTGTGTGTGTTTTGTGTTGTTTGCTTCGTGCCTATTTGTGTGTGTGTGTGTGGGTGTTTTCAAGTGCTTTTGAACTATTTCAGGGTCATGCCCGAAATAATGAATTCTTTACAATGGCTTGTCGAATTATTGTGCCTCCAGAAGGGCCACCAAAATCCAAATTTAAATTTCAAGTAAACAAATGTTGGCCAAGCAGTGGGAAGGGAAAGCGAAATGCTTCTGTGGGTGAGTGTTGTGCTGCTGTAAGGTGTGCCACTTTTATCAGATCATTACCCGATCAACAATTTCTCAACTTGACTGCAAACACATATAACACAAAAGCAAAACCACAAAAAAACCATAAATAAGAGTAAAGTGAAAAGCGAAAAGCAGAGCCAGCCAGCATCATATCATCCAACAGCTGCCTGATATTGCATCAGCTGTTTTCTGTATCCATAATAAAAAATCACCATATGTTTGTGTGTACCAGTTTAACTTTGTTTGTATACGTTTTCCATATAATTAGGTAAATAACAGATGGACATACATACATATGTATCTGTATTATGTATCTGGACTGTATTTGATCTGTTGTAGCATAGATAAATTATCCTAAATATTTTTTCCAACATCTCCAACATATTCCCACCTGGATTTTCACATGCTCTTTTCCCAGAAATCCTTTCTGTTCCTTTCTTGTTATAAAATGATTTCTTATCAGGAACTGTTTGTGTTGTTGCTCAAATTAGTTTCGTCATTAAATTGGAAATGTGCTCAATAATGTACATTATTAATTACAAGTGTAGTGCAGTGCCGCTGCGACAACAATATCGTAATCGACTTGTCTCACTCTCGCCGTCACTGCTGTGGTCCCTGTCTGCGACTCTACTCTACTTTGTCACTGTCTTTGTCTTTTATTGTATATTTTTTAACACTCGTTTCTCTTTTCCCACTGACTTGAATTGTTTTTCTTTGAAATTGAAAGTGGAATAAAATGTGTGAAAGGTCAGAAAATGTTTCTGGAATAGATTTGGACATTCTGCTATGAGTTTTCCTTATATTTCCATTTACCATCTTATTGTCTCCATTTGTAATGCCCTTCCATGTGTTAATATTGCTGCAATTCCTTTAGTTATTTTAAGCAGCTCAAAGGACTAGCCCATGATGGATTTATCTTTTTTAAGTATCCAAAGTCAGCATGTGCTCAGAAGAAGATTGGCTAAAAATAGCCGAGGCACATGTGTGTTCCATCCAGACAAAGACATCAAGGCAGGCGACAGCAAAGTAAAAGAATAGCTCCTAAGAGGCGGAGTAGGATGGGTCGACGCAGGTCCCAGAATAAATACAATTACTAGTGTCTGCTGCCTGTAGTCTGCCCTGCCATGAATGAGACACTTTGGGACTCTCTATCTGTACGTGTATGCCAGGGATCCAGACCCAGACGACACGTGTTTCCATATTTCATAGAGCATTACGCTTTTATCGTGTTCCCCCCAATTGCATAAGCTGGCGGGGCGGAATCATGCGAAACAAATTACGAATACGGATCCAGATCGTGTATACAATTTGTAGTGTTCTCTTATACCCCTTCCTTTTGTCGTTGCACAATCCATTCCCTCACAGCCTTTGTGTCTCGTTTCCAGACTTTTTGCATATTTATATTGTATTTGTTTATAGTTTGCGTTCCCCTCTTTACTTGTTTTGCATTTAAAGGCAATGAAAATGCGTTTTGAGCTAAATCGATTTACCTATAGGATGAGACTATTCCCTTCTAGGCATGTGCGATAATGATTAATGATTTAAATTGTTGTATAATCAATCAGATACGAGTAGCTGCTGGGCGGGCCCTCTCACTATCAAAGCGACCAGCGAAATATATTGATATTTAAAGGCCAAATTCTATCCCAATTACTGGCACATGTTTCATTGAAACGAAATGCTATTTTCCTCAAATATTTATACATATGTATTTCCATTGATATTGTCTCTTTGTCAAGCATTTAGTCTGGGAGTTCCCAGTGCTTTAACGGAAGTGAAATCAACCTTTCCCATTTGAAGTATTTTGTGGGAACATTTGTTACACGTGCAGACTAAAACAGAATGTGCCATCATACGCATAAATAAATTGAGCAAACTCCGCCAGACATCTGCCATCACATAAAATATTATAGTATATAATTAAATACAATTTAATTTTGCTGACAAACTAGTTTGTCTTGTTCCAGCTCCAGATCGGTAGTAGGTACCGGAGTATGTTCTGTCTGTCAATTGGCCCGTGAATTATGCGGTTATTGGTTGAAGAAATAAAAGTATTTGCGTCGCAAAATTAGAGAGAATTTCCGTGATAGATATTGTACGTATATATATTTTCACCCGCCAAACCAGTTGGGAGTTGTATCTTGTATCTTTTTCTCTTTGTCTGCGTGTGAGTGTGTGTGTGTTGTGTATTCGTCAGATACTCACACTCGACTTGCTCTATGGATGATGTGCTGCTGCTGCTGCCTGCTGCTGCATTTCGTTTCTCGTTTCTCGCATTTTCTGCCACAATTGCTGCCTTTTTCGTCTTGCTATTTTTGGCCAAAAGAAATGCTGGCTTTATTCCCCACTCTTGTTGTTGTTAGTTGTTGACGGGGGCCATTGCACCCTAAGGCCAGCTAATTTCTTTCAACTTATCGTTGCCCCCAAGTTCATTGAACCCACGAAATAATAAAAAACAAAGCAAACCCCTAATATTCACCATATATTCCGCAACGCATTTAGCATTGTTTTTAGTTCAAGTGACATTTTTTGCCGCTTTTGAGGTTTCCTTGTGGAACTTTCGCCTACGTTTTTTGACCCCATTTTTGCAGCACAGCAAATTGTGTTGATTGAGGTGATTGGGTCAAGAACTGCTCGAGTGTCCATTGCCTGAATTGATTTTGTTTTGTTTATTTTTTTGCTGTATAATCTAATCTCAAGTTTTATTTATGGCCTGAGATTTGATAAGTTAAACAAAATTAGAGGCAAGTGACGTAAAAAGTTCAGTGCAGAAAAGGAGTTGAATGAATAATAAACAAATAAATAAGTAAATATATTAGCAAGCATTTGCCACTGATCCCATTGCCATTTGTAATCTAGTCGTAAGCTTTAAGCTTCAATGATTGCATATCAATACCCCCATTAAACACGAACAGAGAGAGAGAGAGAGTCGAGTCTTGACAACAGATGACAGATGAAAACTCTGAACTCTGCAGATTGGACTTGCAAACAAACAAACAAACAAGCAGAAGCACCACCAAGATCAGATGTGCAAGGCCTTGGTTATCGGTCAGCAGAAGCTGCTGCAAGTATCCCATGATTTGGTTCATTGCAATTTACAGTAAACGTATAATAAAAGTAGCATTTAAATTGTATAAATAAATCCGCCGCACACACAGCGGCAGAGATTGTCAGGCAGCAGCTCATATCGATTTACAAGCCCTCCACATGCAAAGAGCGCGTGTTCAGTGGGGGGAAACCAATAGAATGCTGGGCAGTAGACACGATACAAATTAATCCATCTACTATACCACTGAAATTATAGTAAATAAATCTTTAAAACGAAACACACAAAAAACTAAATCCCTTTTATGTGTGTATTTGATTTTTACATTTTTGGCCATGAGGCACGGTCACGCACACGCATGTATTTTGTTTTATCCGGAGTTGCCTTTTGCATATTTTGCTTCTGCATCTTTGGCAGAAAATATCTCGGAGTTATGGGTGAAATCAGTTAGGAAGGGTGTGCCTTGTTGTGCCACGATCATCTGGATATGTCAAACCGCTTCAAGGCTTTGCTTACCCTCAGCACAGACACAAAGAGTCATTGTCTCCTGCTGCTAAGTGTTGTGCAAATAAGGTAACCAAGGACAAGAGGAAGAGTAGCAGTCTGGGGCCTTATCAGTGGAACGACGACGACTCAACCCGTTAGCTGTTTATGCACCCGTCGTCATTCGAGCCATAAGTTCCGTTTCATTCCCTTTCCATCCCATCCCGCTGCTTTGCGGGCCCCAGTTAAATGCGTTTTTGCGTATCTAATAATAACAAGCCGAGCGAGACCCAAGTCCCGAGTACTCTTTGGCCGTCATCTGGGAGATTTGCATTTCCCTGTGCCCCGAGTGCGTGCTAATTAAAGCAGCGAATGCAAATTGTGGCAAAAGTTGTGGCAGATGGAATCAAAAGAGATTCAAATGCAAAGAGTACAGCTGCCAGCTATAAAAGAAATAAATGAAAACAAGTCTACGGGCAGGCGCCTCTTCAAATTCTTTCAATGGATTCCAATGAATGAAACGTATGTGAATGGCCGATAATTTGGTTTTATTTAGTAGTCTTCCAATTATAAATTGAAAACACATTTATATAGCCACCAAAATGGAAACCTTAACCCCATGAATCGATATCATGCGATGCAGTGCCCCAAGGGGAATTGATTTTACGATTGAATTGATTAATTTCTATTGAATTTACTTTTAGAATTAAGTTAAATGTTCAATGACTGAATTGAAATATGTAAATATTAATGGCATTGTTTTTTTTCTGATTTAGAAACACATGCCGGTGGCCATCAAATGCATTAGCAAGAAGGGACTCATCAAGACGCAGAATTTGCTCGGGAAGGAGATAAAAATCCTAAAGGAACTCACCGAATTGCATCATGAGAATGTTGTGGCTTTGTTGGACTGCAAGGAGTCCCAGGATTGCGTCAATTTGGTCATGGAGGTAAGTCGTGTCATTAACGTAAAGCAGAAAGCGTGAAAAACTGCATAAATATTGAATGTTTATATGGCTAAAACGTGTGCGCCTGTGAGTCAGTCCGACCGTCCCACCACTGTGGCGATGTTATGGAATGGTTCGCCAGTTTCACGTCATGCGGCCACCTACCTCTCCTACACCCTGCTACTTCTCTTTCCTTCTGTTTGGTCAAAATGCTACGCCATTAATTGCGGAAGTTGCGAAATGAATTTGTAAACAAAAACTTAAGTGAGAATAGAATGGAGCGGAATGGAATGCCTGGTGGATGGATATTCTTATAGAGTCTAGGTGCAGTGGTACTCATTTATTCTCGAGTTGGAGAAAACATTTCCCGATTTATAGTGCTCAGAAATAGCGAATTTACTTGTAAAATATTTTTGGTATTTATTTAGTTATTGACTGAGGAAGAATGAACAATCAGTGTTAGGGTTATCTCTCTGAGGCTTAGTTGTAGTAGGGTGAATCACTGCCACCCGTGTATTTGCCTCTTTGGCACTTTTCCCCTGTGCTGTGTTGGGGTAATTGCGTTGTTTTTGTCGCCTCTTTATACGATATTTATACTTAATACGCATTTGTTAATTTACATCAGAATCTGCCCTGATGCATATCCATTTGGGATACAATCTGTTATTGAATCGTAAAGTTTGTTCAACTCTGTGTGGTGAGGGACCGGACCACAGGTGTGTGCCGTTTGCTAGCACTCAGTGTGTGTACCGAGCACTAAATAATCTGGAAAGTAGGTCAAATGTCTGTGGCACACGAGCATTACAGTTTCTTTTTTTGGGCGATTGTTTGTTTGTTGTTCAACTGATAAGATTGGATAGGATTTTGTGCTGTGTTGTTTTCCGGTTTTGCTAGGGAAACCATAAGTTCTTAATGTTCATACTTATCCTCAGGTTAGGGTATTTGTAAAGGCTTGTTCCTTCTTTGCCTTTACCTATGTATTGGCTTTGGTTTTATTTTCTGCCATTGCATGGCATTTTGAATGTAAGGTGAGGCAGGTAAGACAGAGGTCTAATTGGAAAAAAAAACATGTGGAACATTCTCATTCCCTCCATACCTTGTGTATAAATGACATGCATTTGCATCGGCTTGGTGCGAGCGAGAGGAAGTGTTCCCTTTCCATCTGTTGTTGCTGTTACATTTTCGTTTGTCTGACTTTGGCCCCGTTAGCTTTGACGCTGCCACTGTGCTGGTATTCTAATTACTTTGCAATCAGAGAGAAAGGGAGATAGAGAGAACGCAGACAATGAGAGCGGCTCTCTATTATACTTATGTGTGTACTCATGTATGTTTGTATGTATTTATTGATTCCGTTTGCTGCCTGCCAGCCCACGTGTTCCCCGCTTCATATCTCTTCCTCTCTGCTCTTCTTTATTTATTTATTTACTCGTATCAAGCCAATAATTAACGATCTGTTTATTTGCTGCTTAGTTTGTTGTGTAGGGATAAATATGGGCTGGATTGGATAGCCCACGATAAGATAGCAAATGGGACGATGTCAGGTGTCAAGTTTCGGTAGCTCTAATAATTAGATTCCACATCTGCTCGGCATATTGGGTTTCCTACGGATTTCCCAATCAGTAAAACACATTTTAGCAATTTTTCCTACTATTTACAATAATCGTTTGTTTATTGTATTTTGGCAAAAACTTTCTATAAGCTAAGAGAACGACACACACACACATAAACAATATATATTTTAACTAAAAAACTAAAGTAACATACACTTTTTATATGCAAAACTAAGCAAAGAAGAGAGCCTCCTCCTCCTCCTACTTCTTCCCTTGCTCCCGACTAGGCAGCTAGTTTAACCTACAATAGATACACACTCCGACTAAATAAACTAGAGAACCCGTGACAGCATTTGTTGCTGTTGTTTTTGTGGTGTGAACAATGGAACGGCGACTACAATCGTATGTGACGTCAAGTAGTTAACTAATTTTCGCATTCTACAGATAAATTATCCATATAAATTAAGGCATACCTAAATCTATGGCTATATCTGGCAAAAATGCTTTTAAAGTGGAACGTTTGTTGGTAAGAAATTCGGAAAGTTGTCTCGTTTCTACTTAGGCTAACTTATTTAAGGGTATTTCCTCAGTGGGATGCACCTGATCCTTTGGCTCTGGTTTGCTGGTGCGGCAGCATTTGGTCTTGATGCCGCCCACATCCTTGCGGCAAATGAGGCCAATGACAATGCCAATGACCGCCAGTACCATGATGCCTGAAAGGCGAATCAAAATTATATTGTAGAACAATTTCATAATCGAATAACTTACAGATGAGCAGCGTGTTGATAGTCTCCTGTGAGATGGGCACTTGGTAGGGCTTCTCCTTGTCTGTGGTCGTCTCCACAGAGACGCCACTGCTCTCGGTCACGGTGCCCATGATCCCAGCCTTTGCCACTTCAATGGCCGCCGCTGTGCTGTTTGCCATTTTATTCCGATTGCGAGTTGCTGTTGAGTTTGGAAGACAAAGAGACGAAATGCCATAAGTATTCACATCATTGTTTTGTGATGTTTGTTCCGCTTACCTGTGCGTGTCGGGGCTGGAGTTGCGGCTGGCCGTATTGTGGTGGCAGCGGTGGGCAGGCCCGTCACCCGCTTGAAGGGCGGATCTGTGGCCTGGATCAGACTCTCGTTGAACGATGTGCCCAGCACCAGCTCGAAGCAGCTCACATCAAAGTGCCTAAAGCTGATGTTGTCAATGGATTTGAGCAGGTTGCACAATTCCTCGATGTTGGCCTGGTCCAGTTCTGGCAGTTTTAGTTTAATTATATTTTTTAGCGGTGCAAAAGCTCGCGTATTGATTTTCTGTCAAAAGAAATGGCGTGAGAGAGCGAGACAACTGTATATGATAGTCCAAGCAGCTGCTGCAGAGTTGCCTTGGCATGCATGCGGCAGCTATCGATAGACTTATCATGTGGTATGTTAGTGCGATAGCTTTGGCGCGCAACCTCTTACCTGTTCGAAATCGTTGTTGTTTAAGCGCAGCGTTTGCAGTGCACTCATATTCACGAACGTCTGCTCCGGCAGCTCTGTCCAGCTGCAATTCGAGCAACTGAAGTCAATCAAGTTGGGCTGATTGAGAAATGATCCATCCAAACGCTGCGTAATTGAATTATTGCTCAGATCGAGCAGCTCCAAGTCTGTGGCCCCCACAAAGGTATCGGGTTCGAGTTTGGTGAGACGATTGTTGGCCAAACGCAGCCGCCTCAAACGTTCCAAGCCATAGAAAGCCTGCCAAGTAGATGGAGTTAGTTTATTATATTAGTTAGTTATATATTTTAGGCGGGCTGTACCTCTTTATCCAGATGAGTGAGCAGATTGTGGTTCAAATTGATCTCCACCAGGCGGGATAGATTGGCAAAGTCCTCTGGCCTCAGTTCGGCAATCACATTATAGCTCAAGTCTATGATGGCTGCCGTTCTAGGAATGTCCAGGGGCACATGGGTGAGATGAGCATTGGAGCACTGGATATACTTGTCCTCCACGCATCGGCATTGTCGTGGACAGCTGGGCTCCAGCACCAGATTGCTGCGTCGTGGTATGTCTAGAAAACATTACAAATTAGTTGTGATCAAGGTGTTGTATTGTGGGCTGTTTGATTCTCACTAAATGTCGGTCGAAATGTGGTTGTGGTTGATGTTGAAGATGTGAATGGCATCAGTCTGTTCTCAGCTGTCTCCGGTGATCCCTTGGACGCCGTCTCTTCGCTATAGTCATCATCCTCGTACTCATAGTCCTCAAACGAACTGTTGCTCTGTTGCCCAGCCGCTGGAGCTGCAAATGTGTGGCTGATGCTGTAAAGAGTAAAGAACATTAGAGCCAATTATCGACCAATTCGTAAACTTGATTCTGCCAAATGAACAAATATACCAAAAATGGCAACTGGCTGACAAATTCTAGGGTAAAACGAGGCTTACATCATCGTCTTGAAGGCGAACACACCCAACTAATTTGTCCTGAAAACGCTCTTGACCCATTTAATTAAGAGCCAGCTAGCAGCGAACACGCACGCACACACATGCACACCTGCTATAGAGGACAGGTAGGCGAGCGAGCGATAACTTTTTCCTCTCCTCACTATCATTATAAGCTTGTGTTTAGCTGCTTCTCTCTCTCTCTCTCTCTCCCTCTCTCTTACAGTGCGTTTTAAAATTGTATGACCTGTAGTTGTACTACTCTACTCTCTAAAATGAAGTTTTCAGCTGCCGTAAAGTTCCGTAACGCACTGTATAGTCGATGTGGTGGGAAAGAGATACACAAACCTGTTTACGTCATGGCGAAAAGAGACAACTTGACCGGTTTTTTTTTTGCACGATTTCGTTTACTCTCACTTTCGCCGTTTGTTTTGGTTTTTGTTACTGCTGTATTCGTGTCTGCTTTTGCCTGATTCTAAATCCTTCATTAGACTACTGCTCAGCTCAAGAGTGTGCGGGCTGACTGGCAGGTCAAGTGTGTCTTAAAAGCGACTTGACTTTTAAGAATTCTCTCAAATTGCGTGCCTCTTGACTGAAGTTACAAATGATTGTGGAAGACACTCATCATCAAGCAATCAAGTGGCCAAATTAGAGGGTATAAACGATTTTATACTAGAGTCGAACCGAACGGAAACTTATTGTTTTAGTGCCAATAAAAGTCTTATAATAGCCGGCAGCGTTTTTACTTTGATAATAAAGAAAAATACCTTCAAGCATGAGCAAAAACCTCTAAACTGTAAAAGCCCATGACGATCAAATGGAACCACTCAGAGCGGGATCTTCCAAGTGGAAAGGAATGCTCAACTCTCTTTTTCCCTTCAATACAACAAAAATCAATGGAGCTTTTTGCGTCTCTTTTGAACTGTAAATGGCATAGGGACTAGGCTATTAAAGTGTGACTCATACAAAATCTGTAAGCAAAGGAAAAAGCAAAACACAGAGAGACAGAGAAACAGTAGCTGTTCCCAGTGGGATTATATTTCCTGCACTTCCTGTCGATTTTCTTGCACTCGAATCGCCCGTGTGTTTGACTTGGTCAAACAATTATGATAAGGCTGGCGAAAAAAAGGCATAAATTATCGGACAAGGCAACCGGTGTATTGTTATTATTTTTATCAGATTATGTGATATGATTAGGAACTGTTAAGTGCTGTTGCCGAGGTCTGTCCATAAAAGAGTTGGTTGGCAGTATGTTTTTTTTATAACCACTGCGTGAGTGTTCCAATTAAAATTGATATAACAGGCGGTGAGAGGGGTCAAAGTCCCGCAACTCGTGCGCTTCCTCAACAGGTTCCAGAATTAATCACTTACGAGCGTTACTCAATAAATACTTTGCACTTTGTCTTATTTCGTTCTCGTTCCTTTGTGTCTGATGTTGTCTTTCACCTAGAAACATTCCCCAATTGGCTATGGAAAAAGCCCATCTAGACCAAAGAGGCGACTGCGTCATCCTACTTATAAGAATTACAAATTTCAAAGATGATTTGTTTAACAAATTGATTTTCTCCTGCCTATCTTTACGACATACGATCTCAAAATTAATGTTTTAAACATTTTGGATTTGGTTTTTACCTGACGCTGAGCAAAAATATCAAGAGCAATCCAAATTTGTAATAGACGTGCATTTTTATTGGTTTATTAATGTATTATTTATTTATTGTTTAGTTTCCACTTGTTTAGCAATATAATTAATATATTTTGTTGTTGGCTGATTTAAATTTCATTTGTTTGGTCGATAATTTCACCAGCTGAAAATAGATTTTAATTAGTTTTCTTTCACTTTTCACTCGTTTGTTCTACAAATGTTATTCAGTTTTATTGGCAGAAAAAAATACATCAGTTTTTCATAACATAATTGCCACAGAGCTTTTTCGATCCGCTCGCACACACCGGCACTCAATACCCAAACGTAACTGTCGGCGGCGGGGCTATACAGCAAGCATATGGGAATTTCGACATTCAATGCAGGTGAGAGAGCACCGAAACTCTCACTCTCACTGTCTCTCCCTCTCTCTTTGAACATTCTTTGGCAGCTTCAGTTGATTGTTTGATTATTTTGCGGCTTTTTCTTGGCACCACTCTCTCGTGCTCTCTTTCTGTCTGTTTCTCTCCCTAATCTATGTGTGGAGTGATTAGTAAATGTTTAGCTCCGGCCTGCCTCTACCACTAATCTTATCATTTTTCGTTCGTTTGTAATTCTCTGTGCTCTGCTTCGTTTTGTTTTCGTTGTTCCATTCCATTTGACATAATTTTTAAATGACTGTTGCTATTAAATAGAGTAGTATGTAAAGTTGAAGGAGAGTTTCGCCAACCATTCCCTTTTATTGTGCGGAAACACACCCGTAGACAAGATTTGTTAACATAAATTACATCTATTGGAATAGAAAAACCATAACATGACTAAGCCGGAATGTTGGAGATGAAAAGATTAGCTAGACTAGCTGCTTGTGTGACGTGATTTGAGTTTTAATTTTAATTAATATATTTAAACAGTGAACTTTGCTTGATTCACCACCCAGTGTGCATATATATTTCGTTAATTCCATTTCACATGTCTACATATTTCTTTATAAACACAAACACACGCACACAAATCTATATAGCGGCTCGCTTTGTTTTTATCGCCTAGAAAAATAATGTTGACCTTTAAGTCCATTGAGTTTTACTTGGAATGATTCGCGGCACAGCACAACACACACACACTCAAACTCCACACGTAATACCCTTGGTTTATGTCTTTCGCTTTTATGTGCTCGCGTATTTGCTTATTTCTTCGATTTTGGCAATTGCAGCGAGCTTTTTGCACTGTTTCTTTCTTGTGTACCGTACGATTGCAGCTTTTGCAGCCAAGGCGGGCGAGTCGCGCGATTGTCTGTGATAGACTGAGCGGCAGCAGCGACCCACAGCACAGCCCACCAGGCAGTGGCAGCGAGAGAGTGAGAAGGAGAGGCAGAGGCAGAGAGATAAAGCTTCCTCTGACGTTCGCTCTCTCTTTGATGGAAACTTGAAAACCCCAAATGTTGTTGGTTTGTGTTTTTCATTTTAATGGGCTAGTGCATTTTCCAATAATTCGCTTACTCATGCGCACTTGTTTGCTGATGTTGCATATTTTCATTGATTAAAGAAAAACCAGAGTTCAATTTCTGAAAGCCCCCTTGACTGTGGCTGTGGTGGCGCCCAGCTAGCTCTCTTCTGCTCTTCGTCACTCTCTCTCCCTCTCTCTGTCTCTTTCTGAACTTTTATTGTAATTATATTTTGTTGTACTGTCACTCATTTTACATGTCAATGACTTTTTTGAGTGGCTGTTTAATGTTCTCCCCACTCCCCGTCTGTGTCCATATAGTGCGTTAAGCGTTTTCACAAAAGCAAGTGAAATCTTTTGTCATTTCAATTTTGTGGTTTTAATTGCCTAATATTGCCCCGCTTTGTTTGCTCATTACGTTGTGCGAGAGTAAGTGGTTCGGCACACATGTTTTCTCATTTTCTGATGTCCGAAAGAAATTTTTGTTGTAGCACTGCTTGTATAGCAGGGCATGCAAGTGTGTGTGTGTGTGTGTGTGTGTGTGTTAGGCCCAAGGTCAAATAATCGCAAATCCTTTTTGGCAGCTGTCTAGAAAAGTTCCCTCTAAATGTGTTTGTGGGCTGCTTGAAAAGCTTTAAAACCAACGGTGAATAATTTATTTCCACAAAAAATATCTATTCTTCAGGATAGCTATAAGCAGGAACCGGAATTATTCAAGAGCGGAAACCAGCAGCAGCTGTCTAATTCCCTAATTCTCCAGTTGCTTTTGCTCAACTCTAGATTCTTGATTGTCATAAATCACATTCGCATTGACCTTGCCCACATTCTGTATGTATGTAATTGTCTGATGAATGATGTCGCAGCTCTGAAAAAAGAAAACCCAGAGTCGCCGCGTCTCTTGGGTGGGTTCTCGTGCCTCTGGGTCTTGACATTTTGCTCTTGATTGAACCTAATTCATTTGCATAGTACGCGCTTTGCTTTTGCTTTGCTTGTGAATCGACCGACCGACCGGAGGACCCCTCCTCGAAGATTTTTGTGCGCTTTGAACTTTTGACTTTTTGCTTTTATGATAATAATATTCTGTTTCACTTTTCTTTTCTTATTGCAGTACTGCAATGGCGGCGACTTGGCGGATTACCTGAGTGTAAAGGGAACCCTGAGCGAGGATACCGTTCGATTGTTTCTCATACAATTAGGTAAGGGTTTTACACACATTTACATACATACATGAATATCTAAATATATATTTTCATTGTTTATTTTTAAGCTGGTGCTATGAAAGCACTTTATACCAAAGGAATTGTGCATCGTGATCTCAAGCCACAAAATATACTGCTATCGCACAATTATGGCAAGACATTGCCATCACCATCGAAGATAACACTGAAAATAGGTGAGTAATACCCAGGAGTCTATTCTAACAGTACTTCAATTTGTTCTTCCTTCCTGCCTGCAGCGGACTTTGGTTTTGCTCGTTTTCTGAACGAGGGCGTCATGGCAGCCACACTCTGCGGCTCCCCCATGTATATGGTAAGGTGAATGCACCACCAAATGTAGCCCCAAATCTAATATCCAATTTAAAGGCACCCGAGGTGATCATGTCGCTGCAGTATGATGCCAAAGCGGATCTCTGGTCGCTCGGCACGATCGTCTATCAGTGTTTGACTGGTAAGGCGCCCTTCTTTGCACAAACGCCCAACGAACTGAAGTTCTACTACGAGCAGAATGCCAATCTGGCACCCAAGTAAGTGTCGCACATGGTTCTCCTTAATTTTATACTCTAATTTGATTCCTTCCCTGTAGGGTTCCACATGGTGTGTCGCCGGATTTAAGGGATCTGCTGCTGAGTCTTCTGCGGCGCAATGCCAAGGATCGTATATCATACGAGAGCTTCTTTGTGCATCGTTTTCTGCAGGGCAAGAAGGCTGCCTTGTCGCCAGGTGAGCCCTTAAAACTATTTTTTCTCATAGAAGTTTCACTAATTGTGTTGTTGCAACAGTTGACATGCCACCGCTGGGCGGCACACCGCCTGTAAAGGCCAAGAGTCCTTTGCAACAGCAAATGGAACAGGAACTGCAGCTGGTCAAGCTGGCCGAGCAGCAGCAGAAGGAGCGTGAGGAGCAGGAAGCGGCCCAGGATGAAGAGAATACGGGTAAATATTCAATGAGTCATCCCAAAACATGTCTAAATATTTTGTTTTTGCTAAAATTCAGTTTCCGTGGTGGCCAATCCAGCCATTTGTGCCACCATCACCAATGTGGGTGTGCTCTGCGATAGCGAGAATAACAGCGGATCGTGCAGCTCGCATGAGGACTCCGATGACTTTGTGCTGGTGCCCAAGAATCTGCCCGAGGACCAGCGTCAGGGGCAGGCACTGCCCACAGCTGGTGGCCAGCGTCAACAGCAGCCACAACAGAATCAATCCAGTCCGCCACGACCCAGCAGTCTGCCCATCTCCGAGCCGAAGCCAGTGCCGGCCCCTGCACGTCGCCAATCGGCCGCCAATACAGCTGGAGGAGGCGTATTGGCCGGCTCTCCAGCCAGGCAGGGCACCATGCCGCTGACTGTGGCCACTTTGGCGGCTGCCGGCAAGCAGCTGCCACGATCGCAGCCCATCAGTGTGAAGCAGCCGAGGCCGGATCAGCGCAAGAGCAGCGTGAGCAGCGACATCAATTCGATTTCGCCGCCGGCAGTGCAGTTTGCCATTGGAACACCACCGGGTGGCACCACCAGGATAAGGTACGGTTCGGGTGGTTCGCTGTCGGAGACGCCGCCGCCGCATGCGCCCAGCACTTGGCAAGTGTCACCCGGACACTCACAGTCGCCGCTACGCAGGAGCGGCAATAGCTCACCGGTTCTTCCGTCCGCCGCGCTCACCAAGCTGCCAACTCTGGGCAGTCCCACAATGCTGGTGGGTCCCGGATCGCTGGGCTCGATAGGCTCGTCGGCGGGCAGCGGTTCGGAGAACAATAACCAGCACCATATGCTCGGACAGCGTGCCTTCACCCTGCCCGAGCTGGGGGCCACCGGGGGATTGCACAGTCTGCTGGACACGGGTGCCGGAGGCGGAGAACCACATGCATTCCAGGCTCCAGAGCTGTCGGAGGAGACGCTGATGGATCGCGAGCATAACGAGACGCTGTCCAAGCTGAATTTTGTGCTCGCGCTCACCGACTGCATCCAGGAGGTGGCGGACTCCCGTTGCGCACCTCTCTCCACCCTGATGGTGGCTGGCAGCCAAACGGCAGCAAATGCAGATCCACAGCAGATACCGCCCCATGCTCCGGAGCACTGCAAGCGGGCGGAGCGTTTGGTGTTGCTCGTTCGTGCGCTGCAGCTGCTCTCCTCCGGCCTGAATCTGGCCTCGCAGCAGCTGCGTAATGGCCAGTTAAAACCATCGTCGAACGTGAAGAATGGTGCGTGGTTCGATGATTATAATGGGTAAAGAATAGCTATTTATTTTCTCATTTGTATTCCCCCAGCTCTGCTCACAATGAATGCCAAGTATCGGAGCATACTGTTCGAGTCGAAGCGCCTGAATGGCAGCGGCCTACTGCAAAAGGCGAATGCATTTAACATAACAGCTGACAAGATACTATACGACTATGCGCTGGCTATGGTAAGGAAATGGCCACAACACAGGGTACAATATATGCTATATTATCATCTCTTTTTGCAGTGCCAAGCAGCCGCCTTGGATGAGCTACTGAAGAACACCAAGAACTGCTTTGAGCGTTACAATACCGCACACATTCTGCTGCATTCGTTGGTGCAAAAGTGCAGTCATCCACAAGACAAAATGCTATTGAATAAATGTAAGCAGCTAAAAGATAAGACTAGAAATTATAACTACCTTTTTTTTCCTCTCTCTCTCTCTGACAGATCGCGATGCCGTTGAGAAGCGTTTGAGCATATTGCAACAGCATGGCTACATCTATGTGACCGATGAGAATGCCTAGAGGAGAGGCACACACAAATGGCAATCTTTATCAACATTTCCTTAAGTTATTTAACACACACCCCCCTGGCGCCCCCACCATTATTTTGCGTTGGCAGTGCAACATGTGATTTAAAACAAAAACTACTATAATTTAACCATACCCTGAAAAACAGACACACACACACCCATAGGCATCATCTCTTGGAGTTTTTTTTGGTACCCGAATGTAAATATTTTTCTCAGCTTTATAGTTTTTGTTTTCTTCTGTTTCCCCGATAATTGTTAAAGCTTACAAATGAGTGCAGTGCAGGATGCAAACATGAATAAGGGCAGGAAGCGAGAGTCCAGCTAGTTGTAAGAGTAAAACATTTAATGATATAAAAAGTATGCTAAAACATATACATATAAAATATACAGAATACACACGGGTACATGGCATACAAAATGTACAACAAACGAAAAGCTAATCCAAGCAAAAAGTAGCAAAACCCAAGAAGAACCCCATACCATACATACATACATACATATATCATGTACCTTCCCTTCCCCGCCCGCGTAGCTATATATAGTGTACTATATTTTCTTATTTAACAAATCTAATACTATTCCCCCCCATAATATTACGTCTAAATTACGTGCATACATAAAATATTTATGGCTGCAGCTGCACTACACAAAAAACATAAACATAAATATACATTTAAAGTTGTGCTACGTTCATAGTTTTTAGTTAGGTATCTTTTTTCTAAAGCCCCACAACACAATCCCCTAACAAATATTTAATTTTTAATGACATACAAGAACTTTTTAAGTTTTTCTACAAAACAAACAAGAGAAGCCCACAAATCTTTCGATAAAAGAAATCTATATTTAAAATGTATATGAAATATAAATATATATGAGAAGTAAAACATTCGCGAGTGTATAAAAGGTACAACAAAATACAGATCCGATTTGAATTAATAATAAAACAAATACTAAGAAAATAAATCAAATAAATATGTGAGTCTCTCTCTCTCGGAAGGATCTATGGATAATATCTAAGAATCTCTTGAGCAGAAGTATATACAGCTACAGCATAAATTAGATTTTAATTCAGAATTTAAGAAGAAATTAATCAATTAATAAATGTGCCACAGGGTGCTTCATAGGTCTTCTGATTTACAAAGATTTAGGGTGGTTTCGAGTCTAGATTTGTCTTTATCATTCCCAAATTAGTCATCTTTCTTAGAATTATTCTCAAAAGTGGTAAAAAAAAATGTATTTAACGTTAAATTTGGACAAAGACGAGAAGAACGTATCGTCCGAGTCGTGATTCCCAGCGGCTACCTCAACGAGTTCTGCTTTTGACCGGCCCAATCTGGCCATAGGGAGAGCAGTCACTGGGCGTTGATGTGGGATAATAGCCTGGCATAATACCCTGCCTCATGTTCCTTGGGGCTGTGGCAGTGTGGCGCTTGGGTACGCTGCCTCTGAGGCTACAGTTTTGCTTGCTGCTCATCCGTTGTTCGTAGATACTCCACTGGCCTTGCCCACCGCCCACTTTTCTATCATTTTTCTTCTTTCCTTTGTTTACCGATGCTCCTGTAGATGCTTTTGCTGGAGATGCTGTGGGTGCTGCTGCTGCTGGAGCTGCTTCCTGCGGATCCTGCGGACAGCAGTTTTGGCAGCCATGGCAGTAGCTGGGATACCAGTAGTAGCAGCCGTTGTATGGGTTATAACAATAGTAGTAGGACGGCCAGTGGCACGGTTGACAGCAGCCATTGCAGCAGGCGTTACAGCCATTCCTAATGGGGCATGTTGCTGGTTCGGTCGGAGCTGCGGGCTCGCTTTCCTTTGGGGTTTGGTTTGTTTTGGCTCTGGCTGCAGACGACTGCGAGCTGTCGTCGGCTCTGTGGAGAGTCCTACAGGTAAAATAGTGATCTTAAGGTGCTCGAGGGATTTACTCACTCATTCATGCAGCTGGTGTTGTAGTTGAAGTGGCAGTCAGCGTCACATTTCGCTGCATTTTCGGTTGATGGCTCAGGCGTTGGAGGCTTTGACTTATCCTCAGGTGTAGAAGCAGATCCTTTCGATTTGGTTGCAGCTACACCTCCACCAGTTGCTGCCTTTTTATCTGCCTCACTTTTGGACAGCTTTCGCTTGGGTGCTTTCTTGGGTGATTTCTTTCCCTTTTTGGATTCACCCTCATCCGTTCGGCTGGCCATGTCTATGGGTAAAAGGAGAGCGCAGTTTTGCAGACCATTCGCGGGACAAGACAATTGCAGCGACTTCAGGAAGCTGCCGAGGACATGGGACTAATTAATACATCGATCTCGGACTTGGGTCTATTGTTGTGTACGGGTAAAACGTGCTACAACGAGAGAGCTAGAGCTCCCATTTGAATATAAATCTGACGTAAAACTCACCGCTGGATAGCGTCCATGCTGAGATTCGATGGATAACATTCTCCTCCATTATTCTGCTGCGACTGCCTCGGTGTATCAGCGTCCCGCCTATACGGACATGTGCAGGGATCTTCCCCCGTGCAGGGATTGAACTGTTTCTCACGGTCGCTTGGCAAACCTGCTGCTTGGCCTGGTGGATAGCCGGCTGGAGCGGCAGCCCCATAGCCGGGTACAGGCGGAGGTGGATAGCCAGCGGCAGGTGGTGGATAACCAGCTGCAGGTGGAGGTTGATAGCCAGCGGCAGGTGGTGGATAACCAGCAGCAGGTGGAGGTGGATAGCTGGCATATTCTTGTTCTCTCGGAAACTCTGGCTGTGGATACGGTGCTGTTAGGGGTCCTGTAGCTCCAAAGTCTCCATACGCATATTGTGTCTGAAGCCCTCCTTGCCCATAAGTCTCATATCCTTGCATAGCCTGTGGGACATATCCTGGCACAACTTGTGGACCAACTTCTGGAGCTTGCGGTGGTTGAGGCGGATAGCCGAATGGCGTGGAATTTGGTGCAGGTCCTACCGGTCCCAGAGAGCCATAAAGTGGTTCTGTTGTATATTCAGGCATGGCAGCTTGTGCCCCGGTAATTGGGGGTGCTCCTTGTTGACCGTAAGCCCCATACTGAGTGCCAGGTGGCAGTGCCTGCATGACAGGAGGCATATTCTGAGTTCCTGGCGCCATTACGCACATGTCAGGTGGCACACCTTGACTGCTCGGCTGCACTCCCTGCCCATATGATGCACCTTGAGTCGGCCACGGTTGTGAAGCTGTCCCATTAGCTCCATTACCAGGCACACTAGTCGGTCCATTGCTATCACCAGTTTTATTTTTACCCGATTTCCTCGCTGGCGAACTACTTGCCCTTTTATTACCTGCCCTTCCAGCCTGTCCATTGCCGTCACCCTCCGGCTTTTTCCCCTTTCTGTTTGCTCCAATACCAGGCTTACTAGTCTGTTTATTTATCTCCTGAGTAGTCTGACTTCCCGATCTGTTTTCTCCTTGAACTGCCCTACCAGTTTGTGGATTGCTATCATTTTCCTGCTGTCTTTCCGTTCTGTTTGTTGCATTTACTGCCCGACCAGTCTGTTTATTTCCGTCCATAGGCTTCTGTTTACCCTTTTTCTTTGTTTCCGGCCTACCAGTCTGTTTATTTTCATCCCCAGTCTTCTGTTTGGCATCCTCCTTGGCTTGTGGATCGCGCTGTTTGCATAGAAAGCATGGAAAAGTCATGTCTGAGAACTTTGCAAACTCCTCTGGAAAGTGAACCCGAGGCGGGCAACTAGGTTTGGGACAACATTGGGGGCAGTAGCACGGCTTATGCGGATCTCTGAAAAATATACATAACGAGACACGACAATAGATCACTTTTGTGGCATAAATACTTACCCTCTATACCACCCACTGCAGCACTGGCAGCACATTAGACATTGATGGAGAGGTCCTTGGCATGCGGACATTTTGAAAAGACGACTACGACTTTTAGCTCTTCACGACTACCGTTTCAACAAAACTCATCGCCAAGGCTAAGGGAACAACACCAAAAAATCATCTAAGATTAAATGACATAAATATAATAATTTTGTTAATCATTTGAAGGCTTTCAGTTCGAGTTGTGAGTCGCGGCAAGAGCTGGAAACGTATTTGTATTCCCACAACCCTCCCCCTCTCACTTACACCAACAGGTGAGGGAGAAAAAACTTAAATTGAGCCTTGCTTTCACTCCCTCAGCAGAAGAGGAGAGAGAAGCTGAGCAAAAACAGTTGCAAATTTCCAATACGCATGCAGTTAGAACGAGCAGCAGGTAGCCGGAGTTCATGGAATTGCAAAGCAATTAGGAATAGGGCCAGAGAGCATGGAAGCTTGGAATTGGAACGAGCACTAAGCCGCGCACGCATCTGTCACGCTCTCCCTCTCTCATAATAATTTTTCTATCCGGGCGAAGCGCGCGTTCTAAAGTCAGCTCCGCGTTTTAAGTCGTGAAAACGCGAAAATCTGTGAAAATCCAGCGGAAAATGTGTAGTGCTGCTGTGAGGTGAAGTGCTAAAGTGAATAAACAATAAATATGTCCCAAAAGTGTTGTTAAAGTGCAAGTGAAAGTGTGTGATAAAGTGCGGGGGCGAAAAAGGCAAAAAGTGGCGGAATGGCGGAATGCAGAGAAAAACTGAAGCGTGTGAAGTGTTTAAAAGTGTTTATGTGCAATCGTCCCAAAATGGCTTATGAAGGCGGAAGAATGCAATGCAAAAGTGTAGTGTGTGCAAGTAAATTGCTATAAAGTGAAAAAAGAATACATCAATAGAAGACTGTTTAATAAATAAGCATATTGTTATATGCATCCATTTATTTTCTGTGCAAAATGAGCGTTTAGTCACGTGATCTTGTGTTGTGGTGTGTGTGTGCGTGGGAAAAGTATGCTTTCTCCCTCATACATGTAACTTGCACTAGAAGAAAGAAGAACGTAGAAAGAATCAGTAAGCGCTCGCTCTCAATGCAAGTGGTGCAAAAGTGTAGGGTGGTGCCTAGTCTTGAAATGTGTCTCTCTCTCCCTTGTGCAGTGTGTGCCCACGCAATATCGTGAGATGGTTCCTTCTAGTGTCTCACCTTACCTAATGGTATTAATGCAAGCCTAATTTTATGCTCTTATTGGAATGTCTCAGTCCAAATCAATTTGCATGTGAATGTGTGCGCGGAGCTGACTTCGTTGCTAAAGAAAGCGGAACAAACGGTTAACGTAACACGCGCGCGGTAATTAATTGCAGAAAGGAGTGGAGTGGTCAATTATGGATAAAAAGGTGAGTTTATTTATTGCGGCTAAATGTAAACAATTATTTGACCTTTTTTGAAGCATTTAAAATATTCCACGCACAAGCGCATTTTAAAATCAAGACATGGGGGGAGGTGCAAAATTTGTGGAATGGCCAGTATTTACTTAGGCAGGAGTTGCGTTCCCACAAGATTTCTGCTTAAAATATGATCCTAACCCGACACCCTGATCTCCCCTTTTCGAAACCTATCAAATCAAATTTGTTGTATGATGCCTGAAACGTTCAAATTATTCGTGTAAACGGAAATATTGTAGAATTGGTTTAATGGCCCCCAATAAAAATGTCAGCTATGGTGTTGGTGCAAAGACAAACAGCGCCAGTCCCTTTCGTCGGAATGTTAATAATGAACGTGGGAGCACCAGGAGGGCCAGTCCAATCATCTACCCGGAATCAGTGCTGACGAGAGGAAGCACGTTCCAGCCTCAAACACGCAACCGAATCGGAATGCAGTTGCTGCGGGAACTGTCGCAATCGTTGCCCACAACACCATCCCGGATAAGCCCCGCCCCAAGCGGGAGTCGCCGTCTGCGGCCACCGATTTCCAGAGCGGGGCAGTTGGCACCGTCACAAATGGTGTTGAATAGACCGATGCCCATGCAGTCAAGGACAGCGTTGGGAGTGGTGCCAGTGCCCCAGGGGATAGGGGTACGAGAGGTATCCGCCAAGGAGAGTTCAAGGAGGGTGAGAATTAAGAACCAGGAAAAAGAGGTGGTGCAGCGCACACCTTCCCTCTCCATGACCAACATTAGAACTGCCCGAAAGAGTCCCATGCGGAAAGCATCAACTCTGTTCCAGCAGTATTCCATAAGTCCCCTATCGCCTGTCATCATGGTAGACGCTCAGGAAGATCCGGATGTCAAGGAGGAGGATGCAGAACCCCAAGACATAGAGCCGGCTGACAGACTTGAGGATGAAAATGAGACTATTGCGTCTGCTGCACAGCCAGATGAAGTGGAACACAGGCTCTCAGGCGACAGCGCTGCCAATGAGGATAAAGACCCCGCGTCCGTTGCCTCCTCCCCACAGGCGGAGGAAGTGGAGCCACCCGCAGGCGCTGAAGAACCGACTGAGGAAACTGCCTCGTGCCAGCAGGACGTAAAGATCTATCCCTGCTTCCGTGGGGAGTATCCCACTCGTAATCGAGCAGCCCCTTATCAGTGGTTCGAGAAAACAGGATTCAATCCGGGAGGAATTGCTCCTGGTGCTTGTACTTGTAAGCAGGTCGAGAGCGGACAGAATCCAGGCGAGGAAAATATTCTCACCACATGTGAGGTGACCGAGGAGCATTTTATGAGGTAGGTTCTGGCTTGGATTGGGTTACAGGTTGTCCTTTATTTGCTATCTTCCACCCTGCCACAGCATCGGTTGCGAATGTGATGAGAAACCTCCCCATTTCATGGGTTGCCTGTCGGGGGAGCAGGGACAGCAGATGCCGCAGCATCAGGTCCGTCCATACTGTAGGGAGCAGCAGCAGCTGCCGAGGTGTATGCAGCAACAACAGGCGGCAATGTTCAGAAGCTATCCCAACATGTACAGTCAGCAGCAGCGTCCGAGCTGCTGTGGCCTGACCAAAATGCTAGCCCAACAGCTTCACCAGCAGATGCAGGAGGCCCAGGCCCAGATAGCACAGGTCCAGCTGCAGTTGAAGAACGCCTGCGGCTCCACCCAAGTGCAGCAGCTAAATATTAACGATAATTGCAGCAGCGAAGATCCATACTGGCCAGGCGAGGATTTGGACGAGGGAGTTAGTGTGGGTGGCGAGGAAACTGATTACGCCACGGAGCAGTCTATGAACATTTCATGCTCTGCGATGTATCAAGAGGAGGAACAGCAGAAAGCGCCACAGGATACAGGATCCTGTGTGATGATGCCCTACCGTTCATGTCTGCCGTCATCTCAGCCGCCTCCGTGCTATGCAGCGCCCAGTCAACAACAGCAGCAGCAACAGGCGCAAATTCCTTGCCAACAGCGATCTCCTTGCCAGCAGCAGCAGCAAAAATGTTTCCCAGAGCCTTTTCCTTGCCAGCAACAGCAGCAGTCACCTCCGCCGCCCCACCAGCAGCCACCTCCAGCTCCCTTCCAGCAGCAGCCAACCCCACCTCCACCTTCCTGCCAGATGCAGCAGCAACAACAACTTCTGATGCACATTCTGCAGCAGCAACAAAAGCTGCTAATGCAGCAACAAGAGCAGAAGCAGCAGCCACCGAAGCAGCAGCAAAACCCGAGAAAACATCCACAGCAGCAGCACTCGATGCAGGGACCAAAGCTTTTCCAACAGCAACATCAGTCGCACCATAACATGTGCCCCCATCTGACGCACTGCTGTCCCAGCTGCTACTGCCAGCGGTGTGCCAAGATGCGATTCATGATGCCGCGACGCTGGCCATGCTAACAATTTCAATCCGCAAGTTTTCTAGAGTAACATACCAAGTACAGAGAAACAAAGAAATCCACAGGGAAATCAGGGAATCTGTGCAGGGTACGCTACTATTGATAACATAGGATTGCAGACCCTTTTCCGACTTAATTTTTCATTGTCTCTGGTTAAATAAATCCCAAAAAATAGCCTTCAACAATAAACACTATAAATATTTTATTTCCCATAGGACTTTCTGTCAAATAAATTCTTTAGTTTCGGCCCCTTTAACATTATCAAAATTTGATCAAAAATTTAACTGAAACTTACAAGCGAGTGCCAGAAGTTGGAACTGCCCAGCCGAAATATTCTTTTTAAATTGCAGATTTTCGATTAAAGCAATAACCAGATTCGATTCCCTAGCCAGGAATCGATCATCTGTTTTTATTATAATCAATTATTTTGTAATTTTATGAGAAAGTTCGTTGAGGGTAATGGCCAACTCACAGCAGAAAAAGATTGAGAAGATCAGACCTGGCACCGTCTTTATGTTTGTGGATAAATCAGGGCATGTTGTCAAGGCAAAGGAGTTTGATGAACACGAATATAGCATCAAAGAAGCTAGGAGACTCAATAATTCTTCTTTGCAAAAAAGCGTGACTCAAACTAGTAAATCGTATACAGCTTCGGTTCAGCAAAGAGCCCTGCAGATAGTTAACGACTCTACCAAAAGCCAAAACGTTTCTGAGCAGAAAAAGTCTCCACATTATAGCGAAACATTGAGAATATCGTCTGGCAAATGTGCACGACCCAAGGTTAATGGGGACCACAAAGATATACCCGTAAAAGAATCCAGTCTAAAGAAAAGATTACAGAAAAAGAGCTACCAGGAGCCATTAGGGATAGATCGTAACCAAAGTAAAAATCAAACGCATCAGAGAGAGAAGAAGGCCAAGACTAAGACAAAATCGGAGCCAGACAGCGCAGACGAAAAGGCTTTAGTCAAGGCCAAACCGAAGCGCACACGAACGAAGCCAAGTTCCTGCAGAAAACCATCTGGAAAATTGGCGGTGGACACCCTGACACCTTTGAATGATAATGGAGGGGATACTGATGGAGTTTGGTGAGTGGCTAAAATGCGGACACCTTGGTCATACTAGATATCTGATTTCAACGTTGTAGGTTCAAGTGCAATGTCCCCTTTCGAGTCAAGATACCTTTTCCTATTTTTACGAAAAAACTGTTTGGAATGAAGCCACTCCCTGCTGGCTGCAGTACCATCCCGAAGGGCAAAGATTTTGTTGATGAGGGGCTGGAAAGAAAAGTGGGTTGCCCGCCTTCGTTTCCTTCCATGTGCATCACAATGATTCCTGGGACCAATCCGAATACTTCTCCTGATCAGTGGACCTCCTCTCAGCTGGAGCAACTCAATGAGACAACTGGAACACCCAAAAAGAAGTTAAAAGGTATCAAGAGATGTTCCGTATGTGAGACTTGCACCCAAACGGGATTTAGTACGAATGAGAAGGCTCCGTCCGATCCTGTGTTATCTTGCCTGGAACAGATCCGAGAGCATTTGTCTACTGAGAATGAGAATGCTCAGAAGAATGAGATGCTAAAGCAGAAATATACGTGCCGGTTCTTTGCTGAAAAGTCAACAAGTGTAAGGAGTCTACAAAGTACTGCGAATGAAAACTCAGGTCCGAATGCTGCTGCAACAAATAACAATAGGAAAAAACAATTTAAAGAATCTAAAGAAACTAAAGAACCAAAAAATATAGAGTATTCGAGTGAGAGAACGGAACCATCCATTTTCTATAACAGATATCCAAAGTGTCCCACGACTAGGATTTCCAAAGTCTGCAATGCGGCCGTTTTTAAGCAGTCACCAGTGTCAGGCCATGTCCACAGAGAGGCACCGCTAGCTCATGAACCCAAGAGGTATACTCCTGACAATGGCTTCCTTGGCTCGGGGAATGTTTCCGTGAGCAGAGGCAGACACATTTCTCATCAACAACAATACCAAGTCGAGGGGGGAAGCAATAATTCTGGCCAAGATGCCACAAGCAATAATAGCCGGAACTCTGATAATGATAATGAACGTTGTTCTACAACTTGTAGACCAGAAGGTGGCGTCTCAGATACCCAATGGAATGATAAACACACTGGAGCAACTATCCGGAAAGAAGATAGTTTCTATGACGATGAGAGCCAAGCGTCCCATAAATCACAACAGTCGAAAGGGGGACGCGCTGGAAGGGCGCTGAAAAGAGATGACGAGCCTCAAAGGATGAGCGAGAGGATGAACGACTTCAAGGCTAAGGAAAATCGAATAAAGCAGCGATCTAAATCGGCACCAGCAAATATCAAATACAGAGATGGCAGTCATTACTATCGGGTTCCACCTATGGTGCGACCAAACGGCGGTAATCCTAAGGTGATTGACCATGTAGTTCGTCAGGTCTCGGACAGAAGTGAGGAAGACGTATATGCCACGATTATGTCAAGCAATATGAAGATATTTGTGAACAAAAGATGGTAAGGGAACTACATACAAGTGTTAGGGATATCTTTCCAGTGCATGGTCTTTTTTGTAGTTCCCCACAAGAACAACCAGTGCTGCTGATGCCGTTTCGTGTAGAAAACAAAAATATTGGACAAGGCAAGGCAAAGGAATGGTGAGTGACAAACATGGTTGTCCCTACCATCCTTACAACAATTTTCAAAATGTTTTAGGCGGAAGCTGACCTTGACAAATGTGACCAAAGTCACACCCAACCAATTTCGTATAGTTTCGGGGTATGCCAATGGTTCAAGTCGAGTCCCGAAAGCTAGTCCTCCATATGCAAGAGCTGTGCCCAGGAGAGCTCCACCGCCAGCTGTTCAATGTCGCTCATCGCAAGGTCAGACTCAGTCTAGGGCTTATCCCACGTCAGCACTAAGATGTCCCCGTCATCCTAATGGACCAATCTCAAATCGGAATAGGAGAAACCCCAGCGCATGCAACAGATTTAGAACAGCAGCTCCGAGGAACAGAGAACAGCTCCAGTCTGAGTACAGGGAAGTTGCATTTGGGTACAGGGCAAGTCGACAACCAGCTGTTTCAGCCGGCAGCAGTCATAATACAGGGCCTTCAGCTGTTCCCACTCAACGTTGGGTAAATGCATCCATTGGCAGTAGCTGCGCAATCGACTCTACATCGATACAATTTCAACATTCAGCTGAACGCAGTCTAGGGGTCTCGCAACAAACCTTGACAGAGCAAAACCAATGTCCACCCTGCCTGGCCGCATGCAGGCCACAATGCAATGAAAGGAGCATGGAAACGGTGACCCTGATGCAGCCCCGACCATTGCGCAGTACCGAGAGCTTTCAGAGCGGCAACTACGAGGATCAGGGAGCGACAGCCATGGAAAATCAGCTACAACCTGGCTTTGGGCCTCCGGAGTGCCACTTCGGGAGCCGGCAATGTACAGGAGGTCCCCCTTCAATGGGAGACTTTGGGATAAATCAACAGGAATTTCTAATGGGAAACGGTTACCAATCGAATCCAGCAATCCAGCATGCTCAGCAATATATCTGTACCGGCTCTGTGTGCTCCCACTCCACTGGCCTGATAGACCCACGGCACCTGTTGCCCACCGTGTCTGCGTCCGTGCAGTCAAATCAAGTGCCAATGGGCGTCTATCAGTGCCATCAGCCAGTGCAATGCCAACAGCCGACTGATATGTATGGCAATCAATCTCCTTTTTACAGCCCTGAAGATTTAAAGGAGAGCATCAGAATTATGCCAATGGGTTTCTACGAGCAGACAATCAACAAATACAAAATCAATCCCTTGGATTCAAATTTCAGGCCGCCCTCACTGCATGAATCCCTCTTACAGCATTTGCAGCAGCAAATGGAAGTCACTGCTTGCTCCATTAGCAGCCAAAGTCAGCAGCAGCAGCCACAGCAATCTGCTGGTGTTTACGGCTATCCCAATCAACATTGTATCCATCAGCAGCAGCACGGTAGCTCTGCGTGCTCCTGCCCCTATATAATGCCACAAAATTCATACCCTCAGCAACAACATTCACAGCAAGAAATGCAGTTCCAAGACTTCGATCAAACTACAATACAGTAGATAAATGCAGGCAAATAAACCCCCAATTTCGGATCAATTTAATGTTATAGAATTACAGGTCTTGGGCAGTTTTTTGTGTTAATTGTGCTCTAATTTGTGATTTGTTGGCCAGGCCATCACCGAGGTGTAGCGGCTGATGCGCCTGGTCAGCAGACGTGGCATCGATGTGCTGGTCGATGAGGGTTTCATCAGCATACAAGTCCTGCCAAAGCGTGCCATGTACAGGGAAGTGGTTTGCTTGCCAGCACCCATCGATGTGGATTCGCTTCTGCCAGCCAATGAACGTGTTTCTTTTGCCGGTATAGCTGTAGACTCTTTTGCGCTCGAAGACTTCACCTGCTGCTTGGCTCTCGGCTGCTGTTGCGTGCTGCTTGGACCAAACATTCTTCTCAGTTCCTCCCGATTCACAGGCGATGAGGATGCATCGCTGGAATCTGGTACCTTTGCACGCTTGATTGGGTAGCGTCGCTGTCGCTGGTTGCCACATGGCACGCTTTGAGTTTCCTGATGTTGCTGATTGACACATGGCACACTTTGAGTTTCCTGATTTTGGTGCTGCGTTTTGTGCTGCATCTGTGGACTGTTGACAAATGATCCACAATGTGGGCATGGATGGTAGGCAGCGTTCATGCGGCAGCAATTGGAGCCCATTATATTCGTGGTCATTGGTTGACAGAAGCATTGCTGCATGCTATGGCAAGGTGCAGACGGTGGATACGGATACCAGCCAAAGGGATATTGTTGCTGCTGCTGCTCTCTCGTTGATTGCAGAAGTGGAGTAAACATTTGCTGCGTAACCATTGGCATTGCATAAAGATTAGGCTGACAATAGCTCAGAGAAGGCTGCATTTGCGGCACACTTGCTGATGCTGCTCCGGCTGCTGCTCCTGCTGGCGGTCTGAGAGGGCAGCAATTGCTTGCGTAACTCAACGCACAACAGCTGCTGCAGTTGCAACAACCATCGGGCGCAACTTGACGGAAAGGACAACAATTGCAACAGTTGCATCCATTGAGATAAGGAATGGCCATGTTGTTGTTCAAAAATTGCTGGCAGGGATACATCATAGGATTCACAGACTGCGCCGGCGATGCAGGAACAAAGCTAAAGGTCCCATGTGATGGTGTACTACTATGAATTGTCTGCTGCTCCGTTGGCTTATGACTATGCGTGGCTGTAGTTGGACGTGTGGCCTCGGGCAGTAGTGTGCTCTTGCTGGCTACCTTTGAATCTCCCTGATATTGTTGCATCCCAGCGTTTCTCCGATTGAAGCGGCTTGGTGATCGGTTACTAGATCTACTGTTTTGTGGTACATCCTTGGGAGACTCCTCTGTTTGGGTCTTCATCTTGCTCTGCCGTGTCTCCTGCTGAACGCTGTTGACTGAACTTTCAGAGCTTTGTTCCATGCGCTTGCGCACCAGAGCCTCCTCTAGGACGACAAAGGAAGGCTTGCGCCTAAGATCCTCACCATTGAAGACCTTCACAAAGCCCATACTGCTATTCCTCTGACATGAAACGTCTGATGCCACCTGCAGAGAGTCAAATGCATCTGGATCGTGCTTGATTAAGGCAATGCTGATTCGTTGGCTGTTGACTGCTGGAGCCTGCACCTTTTCCGCTTTGATTTTGTCCTCCACAGAGCAGATGCCACTGCATATTCTATCTTGTCGCTGCTCCGCTCCCTGCTCTGCCCTGATCCCGGCCTCCTTCGGACTGATCTCCAGCTGACCCTCGCTGTTCAGGGCTATCACAAAACTGCATCTGCCATTTGCCTTAACCTCATCGGTTAAGCCCAGAACGCCAGAAGTTGCCGACCTTCCATCATCTTGCGTTGCCATCTTCCAAAAGCTGCACAATTTTTGTGTATTTGATCCGAAAAAAGGAAAAAGGGAGGGCTGGTGCTTTTGTTACAAATGTTTACACATAAAACATTACAATTTTGATGTGATTTGTGTTGAGGCTATCTTGATAATAAATACATTTATGTAAACCCATTTTGACAGGTAAATCAATTATTGATCAAAAGATTTTATATTTTTTACTTCTTATTTTTCAAACCATTTTTATACATCTAAAATTAATATTAAATTATATTTTTGTAAAGATGTCAGCAGCTTGGCATATTCGTTAGGCAACGAGGTCTTATGAGTGCTTTATAATTAATTTATTATATTATTTTTATTTGCATGTCCTTCTGTGCTTTTGTGTGTAAAACAACATTCAAGACTATAACTACAATTACAACAACGATATAAAAGGAAACATTAAATAATATTCAATGATAAACCATTCTGGAAACAGGTTAGGTGAGTGAGTCTTTTGCTTAAATCCTTATATTATGTTTCGAATTTTATTTATTTACATATATTCTATAGTTTGTTTGATTACATATTTTTATACATTTTTTTCGGTTGATATTTTCGCTTTTGGAACTGGGTGTCTGTCCCTCTCTGGTACCATATACTTACATATAAATATAAAAAAAGCATAGGGAATGAACGTAATAGGGAATGTATTAATCAGTTGATTGATTTGATTATTTTGTTTAGAAATATTTTACTAAATTCTTATTTATTTTTGTTGTGTTCATTTCTATATTGTATGCTATAATCACAACCTATTTTGTGCGCATTTTCTCGTTCAGATAACTCGAGAAAAAAATTGGTGATAAAATGAGAGGCACTCGCCCTTGCCGCATCCTGCTCATGATCGTTTGCTCTCTGTTCCACAATTCTTTCGGGTGGGCATGGTGTGTAGATGGGTTGAAACTGAATGTGGGGAAACGTTGAGGAGACTGGTGCTGTGGCAGCTGGTGGATAATGGATTTCCATGGACGGAATCGGATATGGTGTTGCCCGACGTTCGTTGATTTCACGCCGCAGTTGAGCCTCTTCGGCCTGGGAACTCCTTCTTTTGGCAGTCGCGGAGTTTGTGGGTTTTCTTTTTAGCGGAGGTGGAGGTGGCATGGGTTTCGCCTGAAATTCACTGCCAGCTGCAGACGATTGCATGTAGGAAGTGGAGGAGGATGATGGATATATGTAGGGAGGCGGCTCAAACATGGGCGTGTGATGGGGCTGAGGCACTCTTTGTGACTGTAGAATGTGCTGTTGCTGCTGTTGTTCCTGCTGTTGATTGAATTGATGTTGCAACAACAATTGTTGCTGATGCTGCCTCCAGGACAACTGCCGCTGTTGCTCACGTATCTGAACATCCAACTTTTGCTGCTCCGCACGCACTTTTCGCTGCTGCTTCACCTTGTCCGCCTTCAGCAAGTTCTCTGCCTTTATGCTTTTCTTCATTTTCAACTGAAACCTATGATCATCTTCCGCCCGCTCCTTGTGGATCGCTTCGAGATTGGTGTAGAAGAAGCGCTGTTGTTCTTCGTCCTGCTGCTTGAGCTTCTGCTGCATGACCTTCAGTTTATCCAGCTCACCGATGGTCTCGAGTATATTCTGCTGACAGACAACCTGTTGCTGTTGCGAAATTTTCGGAATTATGTACGAGACTGTCGAATGTGCAAAGAGCCGCTGCTGCGCCTGCGCCTGTGCCTGTGCCCGCGCCTGTGCCTGTGCCTCTGCCTGTGCCCGCGCCTGTGCCTGTGCCTCTACCTGCGCTTTTGCCTGCGCCTGTGCCAGCTGCAGCTTTTGCTGTTGATTCTGTATAGAGTGTGCCGGATAGGTGTCGAGGTTCTGCTGGATCCAAGGATACACCAATGCACTGTGCAGCAGCGGCTCCACGTCCACATGCTCCTGCCTGAAGTTATCCACTGAATTATTGTGAGTGACGCGGCTTGGCAGGAATGTCTCCACAGGCGGCAGGACATTGTGATGACAGAGAATTGAATTTCCTCCTGCTGCTACTGAGGAAGCGTTGGATGTGGATGCAATGGAGCTGCTTACGCTTACAGGAACCGAATAACAAAGAGCATGTGGCTCGGTTTGAGCCTCAACCATTTGATGTTGCATATGTTGGTTGGATTGATAAAGCTGGGAGTTAGATGTGAGCACAGTCTCAAGCTGCTGTTGCTGTTGTACTTCCAGAATTGGTTGGAAACTCTCTTCCTTTGCTTCCACTCTTTCTTCACTTGTATTTACTTGCTCATTGTTTTCCACTTGATTTTGACTTGCCTCCGCTGTTGACGTGTTCTGAAAATCCTCCAGTAGACCCATCTTCTCGTCCAGCAGTTCACAGTTGGGATTGTGCCATCGCAAGTGGGGATATGGCTGCTCCTGCCCGGTTACCAACTGTGAGCAGTTCTCAATGATGCTGTGGCATTGATCCTGCATTGGTTGTGGGTTGTGTATTTCGCCTACTTCTTGTTCGTTCTCTTCTGATTTGTTCTTTATATAAATATTATTATCATCATCCGTATTAATGATCACCGGATAATGAATCAGCGGATCATTTGCAGCATCCATTGCGGGCATTTCTATGTCTTCCTCCTTTGTGGCCATGGGATCTATAACTTCCTTTGTTTTATCATCTTCATCAGCGTCAAAGATCACATCATATTGGATCACTTCGGGCATTTGTAGGTCTTCTTCCTTTGTGGCCATGGGATCTTCAACTTCCTTCGTTCCATTATCATTATCAGTGTCAAAGATCACCTCATAATGGATCATCGAATCACTTGCAAGGTCCATTTCGGGCATTTGCATGTCTTCTTCCTTTGTGGCCATGGAATCTTCAACTTCCTTCGTTTCATTATCGTCATCAGCGTCAAAGATCACCTCGTAATGAATCGTCGAATCATTTGGAACGTTCATATCGGGAAACTGTATGGCTTCCTCCTCCTTCGGGGCCATGGGATCTTCAACTTCCTTTGTTTCCTCGTAACTCGTAAATTTATTGCCATCGATCAGCTCTGACTCATCTGGTGACTTTTTGAAGCTGCTCTGCAGAGCAGTCATCTCTATCTTCTTTAACTGATTGGCCACGTATCGCGCACGTCCAGTGACAACGGAAAACTTGAGCATGCGATCGTCCTTATTGCTCGACAACTTAGGGCAGCTATGTACAACCGAGCTGCGTAAATTGCTGCGTGCCAGCTGCTTCGGTATAAATAGGTGCTCCTCTAAGAAAACGCTTTCCCTGCGCTTCCTTGTCTCGGCACTGAAAGAAAGAAAATTGTTTAGATGGAATGGAAATGCGAAATAAAATATAATTCAAGCATACATGGAAAGAGTATGCCTTTCCTCAAGCCCCAGAGGTCTATTGTCACTGTCTTGTTTATGCGTCTTGGCACCGGATGACTGCTTCTCCTTACAATTATTTTCGTTGGTGCTCTCCAGTGCCTTTCCATTCAATTTTCTTATGCTGTTTAATAATGTTTATAAAATAATTATAAGTTCTTATTTTGTCAACTCTCTTGTCCAACACCTACCCTTCGATTGTGGCTGGTACTTCGTCCGCATTCAGACTACTCACTGGCTTAGTTGTTACATCGGACACCTGCTTTAACTCCGGTTCGGTCACGACCATGTCGCGTCTGGAACTGCCACTGTTAGCCAAGTTGCACTTTCCTTTTACTGTAGACAGCAATTATATATATTTATTTACGAGTGAGCCTTGTTGCCTTTTGCCAGTGGTAGTGCCGGGCAGGGTTCCAAGTGGTTGGGTTTGAAATTTGATTTCTTTAATTGAATTCGCAAAACAACGGCTGCTTGGATACTGTACTGTAGAAGCGAATATGAGCTATGAACTGGTGGAGCGGCGGGACGGGGTGTGCTTTAAATAAATAATTATGATCAAATGGAGAACATTTTCGTGGAAAATTCCTGGATCGAGCTTTGAATTTGGTACTCCGATTCTGTCTCTAGGCCTAATTATATTCAATGGAAGTGAAGAATGCTTAATAAACATAAATAAATGCATCGAGGACCAAATTTAATAAATTTAATAAATGTATATTTGATTTATTTTTAATACATTTATATTTAAACGAAAGTTTGAAAGGCATTTTCCATTTAATTTCACTTCTTGTATTAAAATACGGAATATTTATTTGAAATATAGTGATGATACATTTTGGTTTAAATCTTGTTCTCTGAGTGTACGAAATCTCATGCTGTTTACCTGCTCGATGATACTAGTATTCCTTTCTGGATAAGCTCGTCTTCCCCACATTCGCACTCCCTTTCTGTCATTTAATAAACATTTCTATTCATGTACTCCTCCAATTTTTGTAAACAAAGTTTCAGTTCTGTCACTATGCAAATACACAAATCAAATCTTTAATTATGTGCCGCTGCCTGTCTGCTCTCCCAGGAGGAACCCCCCAGCACACAGTGGCACAGACTTGGCTCAGATTCGTCCACGTAGCAGGCGAAATACGATGAGCGGTGGCACAACCAAGGCCGGCGTAGAGGCCTAACAGGTGTAGAGTTGCACAACCGAAATGAGAATGAATGCAATTGAAATTTGCTAATAACATTACATGGTCCGAGGGCGATAAAAGCAAAAACCATTCCAACTTGGGTTCCCCGGCAATTATGGGGTTTGCCTCCTTCTTCAATTTAAGGGAACTGAAACAATAACGCACAACAGGCTCAACACTCCGCGGCACACAACGGGCACACACACACCTCCCCCCCACTGGTCAAAGGCCCCGCATAACCTGGGTTAACCTGGGACGGACAGTCAGACTAAGGACACGTCAGCGCCGGCTGACCGGCATGTGACGTGGCCGCTTACAATTCTATATTGTAACCTGTGTTTGTATTTTTATACACGAGGCTACACTAGAGGTGTACATGCAATTATCTTACGAAGCTATTAATAGAAACGAGGGCCAACGAAGGCGAGAGCATCCGCAAAAATATCTTATTGCTAGTTTTTCTACTATAAATCCAAAATTCGTTTAAAAATTATGAATATAAAATAGTTGTCCTTCCTAAATATTTGCTCTATTTACAGATATTTGTATTAAATTTAAATTTAACTGCCATCAGGATTCGGTGCAGTTCTTTTGATCTAGCTCCAAGAACTAGCATTCATCGATATGCGGTCAATCCATTCCCTTTACTTTACATACATAATACAGAAAGTAACGTAAAATATCAGTTTAAAACTGTACGGAGTAAAAAAAAAGTAATTCAATTAACCAACAACAGATGGCGGATATCAATCGCTAGTTTCGAACGAGGACAGCTTTTCCGGATCAATGCAATAGCAAGTCAATCTGTGTTGGAGATTTATCTCCTTAAAATGTATCGCTTAAAAAGCTTACAAAAATGTCAGTCTAAGATAAAGTCAATTATTAATTTGAAATTGATATTTTAGTAATAATTTATGGAAATAGGATTACAGTAGCCCATAGTACCTAATGTTTGATTAGCAGCAAATTGCCAAATACGTTGCAGGTATATGTTGTTTTTTTGTAATCATTCCAACAAAAGGAAGTCATGAAAATATTGTCGAGAATTGATAAATCGGATAAATCGGATAAATCGGATAAAATTAGAGTTTTAGCGTTGAGATTACAAACTAGCTGGTAATGTCAAATGTAACGTCAAAATCGAGGAAATATGATTTAAGGTTTACGGTATATTTGCAGTATATTTTTAAAATGACAAGGTTTATTATGGTATATTTCCGAGGGTCTGTCGGTATATTTGATCGATAATTCCGCGGCCACACTGTTTCCAATTCAATACATAATTAAAACATAAAACATAAATAAAATGGATAAGCTAACTACAATAAGTGCCACGCTATTTATGGCCGCTGATGTGTTTGCCATTGTGAGTCTGGCGCTGCCTGATTGGATTATTACGGAGTCGGGCACAGGTGATGCGGAAGTGAAAGATGTTTTCATAGGAAAAGCGTTCTGAAAATCTAATTATATTGCAGGAGACATACGCTTGGGACTGATGTGGACATGCATGACCCTCTACAACAGGCCGCAAGTGTGCTACACACCCGACCTGCAGCCGGAATGGCTGATAGCGTTGGTGTGCATTTTCATGGGCTGCATTTGCATCACAACCACTGTGATCCTGCTGGCCTCCTCTTCGTGCAATCGAAATGTGATACCCTATGCCCGATGGGTGGGCTTTGCGGCCATGGTGCTGTTCTGCATGGCCGCTGTGGTCTTTCCACTGGGCTTTCACATCGAGGAGATTGGGGGACAGGCCTATCAGCTACCCAATACCTTCAAGATTGGCATTTCGTACATAATGTTTGTGCTGGCACTGTGGATAACCGTGGTGTCCGAACTGTTTGCGGGAAAGGTGTGCTTGCCGCACTTTTAGAGACGAAACGGTATCACTGGTTTCCTGATATTGTTTGCCGTTTGCTCTGTGATTTGTTATACATTTTGTTTCTGTCTTTTGTTACTCATACTGAATCTGTAGCCGAGAGCCCACTCTGCGACACACACCGATCCGTCTACGGAATCTCTTCTAGCTCTTAATTAGTTTTAGTTTGTACATTTTTATACAAGTCCAAATATATATTATGTATATTATTTATATTGAAAGAAAGGGCACACACATGTAAGCTGGGGACACGCACTAACGCACTGACGCACTGCCTCTTCCGACGCTTTGATGAAAACTGAAATGCTAGATAGCTGAATCCGCGACTTGAGCTCCATTTTTGGTGGGTTTGCCTGCGTTGGGCCCCTATTTGAATGGTGATCGTAGAACGCTGACCAAGCGCTCCTTGATGAAAAAACAAACAACCGATACGATACGACGCGATGATTTACGAAGGCAACCAGGGGGGAACTTTGCTGAGTTAAACATTAATTTGCCTAGAGCGTTCATTGTTTATTGAATGCGGTCTGAAAAATGAGATCAAAGGGATATTGACGTATTTTCCAAGAAGTACTTGAGTTATTTATTTTCAATAGAGGGGAAGAGATTTACAATTCATATTCAAATTACAAAACGGTTATGCGATGCCGGAAATTTTTGTCCACTCAAATTAACGTAATTGTTTGTTATTTTGTTTTAGGCATTTCTCTAATAAACTCCTCAAGCTAAGTAGTTGAGTGCGCGAAGATGTGTTTATTGTTTTTCTTGGTAGATATCAGCGCTGATTTGTGGTCATAGTCTGCACAATTTAATCAATTCTGGATTGCCACATTATGACCATAGTCAACCATGTAAAAAGTCTTGTAAAAATGCAAAAAAAAACCTATTAATATTTAGAAAAAGAAAATATATTGTAAGGATTCCATTTATTTACTTATTATTATTCCATGAATTGTGTTAGATTCAAGCTATTTTAATAATATCAAATACATATATTTCAATGGATCTACATAGTTTAAGAACTACTGCAATTTGATGGTTTTATTTAATATTAATATTTTTCGCAGTTTCGAATATTTTTGTGGTGTACATAGAGATAGTACAATAGTGGTGGGAAGTAGATAGGTTCTAAGCAGATTGAAATCCATCTGGGCTTATAGCAGATTCAGTTTCCATCGGAGGTATAGTGTGTGTATTTATTTTGTTGGGATATGTTAGGTACTCAAGATGCATTTATTGAGCTCATATTTTCACTTACAAATAGTTCACTTTGGTGGCCTTTACTCTTAGACAGTAATATTATTATTTGGGGCTTCTGAATAGTTATTAAAAAATAGTTTTAGTACAAAAATATATATGTAGAGTTTTAGTTAGAGTTTGTTTCTTTCAAAGAATTTAACTAGTGTTGCTCGAAAGTAAGATGAACATGGCACATAAACATAAATATATAAATTGATTTATAACAAGGGGAAATTAAGGGTAGAATTGGTAGAGCGCCTCTTGGTTAATGTATCTACTACAGGGATATATTTTGCTATATATTTATTAGGGTATTATATCTTGGCGCTCGGGCTCTGTCTGTGCCTAGTTTGCATTTTGTTTGTCTAGCATACATTTTAATTCGAATCGTACCATATAATTATTCGCTGTTTAAGTGATCGCTATGCATAAATCGTACGAAATATATATAATAACAATTTAAATCTATCAACTAACTAAAAACAAATTGTGGCTAAAAAATACTTAACATGTGTGTGTGCGCGTGTGTGTTTGTGTGTGCGTATTTTAAATGCTTTGCAAATTTATGAATAACTAAACAAATAAATAAGAAGATGCCTTGAAGTGAAGCTACGTTTAAATATATATCCTTTAAATAGTATCAAATGATTTTACAATTTCCCATCGAATGGTGTCTTTACAAAATATGTGACTAGATTTCCCTTGCCCTTCACATAGGTGAGGCCACGGCACTCGCACTCATAGCCAGCTGCCATCAGTATCTTTGCTGTGTTCTCCGTTGTCTGGAAAGTAGAGCATTGAAAATGTTGTTGAAATTTGTTTTGCTGCCTGCTACAAGACTCACCTGTAAGCGTCCCATAACGCCGCACGAATCCATGCGCGAGGCAACGTTAACTGTATTACTCCAAATATCATATTGTGGCTTCTGTGCACCAATCACGCCCGCAATGACCGGACCATGATTGAGACCGATGCGGAGACGGA